GGAAAAACTCCCTTTTAACAGGAAGAAACCTCCGGCAGAACCAGGCTCAGGGAGGGGCGGGGCCATCTGCTGCAACCGGTTGGGGAGAGAGAAGGAAGACAGGATATGAGCAGCAGTATTTGATGCACTGGGATCAGAATGTGTTGAACTGTCATGCCGTCATGGATGGATGGTTGGGTTTGTTAACAGGAGAAAAAAAAAACACCTAGATATAGTTGAATTTAATTGAATATTTGAAATGGAATATTTAGACCTCACTGATATTCTTTCCTGAATGAAAATTTACAGTTTAAAATTATCATTTTTGACACAGACATTAAGTAAAAAGACAAGATATACTTAATCTATCCCAAAGTTGAGAAAGATTCAGATTCAGTCTTCTTTCCATCTGAGGACTGTAAGTAAAATCTTCACCCTCCTCCATACTCAGCACTAATCTTTTGTCTGTGCACCAGATAAATTTAGATTTCTTAAAGATTTTTGTACAAAACAGCAGCTTCTTGCAGCTAAAGGCAAAGTTAGGTTTAAGCAAACAGTACCCGAGTCCCTCTAAAAACCAAGCCCCTCAGCAAAAAGAGGCTAAAAGCCACATTAGGTGCATTTACAGGTTTGTCTCTGAATCATGTCAGCCATTGCTTTTATTAAAAATATTCATTAGTGGAGCTTACTCATTGTAATGAGTGAGAATGAGAAAAGGCGACAGCCTACACCTGAAATGCGTTCGAAAAGGATGCAACATTTTCTCATCTGACAAGTTTCTTTGCTCTTTGTCTAAAATGTAACATTTATTAGCTGCATTGTCTCTGCCCCTAACCCTTTCTTCTTTGTATAAGAGTGTGGAATCCAGTATCTGTATTCAGTCCGTTCATGCATGTGTTAGCTTTCTGCGCTGGGAGGAGCCCACACAAAATGAATTCATGAGAGCTCATGTGAACCTCTACATGCAGAAGTTTTATGTCGAGCCTCTTTTGCATGCTGGGATGCTGCACGTGGAGCGAGTGAGGCGAGAGACTGAATGCAAACAAGGCAAAACCAAGCTATTTTCACACCCTCACTTTGTGGAGCTAAACAACATTACGCTACAAGAATCTTTTTTTTTTCATGTTGTGGTGTCTGTCTGACAGCATCATCCATTATTTGTCCGTGTCTGAAAAGGTTAATGAAGTGGTCTTTTTTTTAATACAAGAGAGCAAAGCGGGGGGAAAAATCCCCCCCAAAACAGAGCCATGCGTCATAGCTGTAGTAATTACCATATTGTATTTACACATTGTAACAGGCTGTATTGATCTCCATATTTTGATGTATACTAGTGGATTACACATTTCTGCAAGCATGCCAACAGTGTTTAATGTTCCTGTAATCCTCCACTCACCACAAACACAACAGCAATTATAAAGTTGTCTGTTATTGGACCTGCGTCGCTGTTCCAGGGAATGAGAAAACCCTTAATTGGGGTTTGTGGTTCAGACAGCATTTGAGTGCGTTTGATTGGATTGGTCAGCATGTGGCTCACGTATGTAACATTATATCTGCCTTCTGTGATTGATGAACTGGTGTTAGTGGGCCTGCCTACCACGGCTGCTGTTGCCCGAGCAAGTGCTGACAAATGACTCACCGGCATGAGTGAACAGAAACACTCGACCGCACGCTGCCACACCGAGACGGATATTGACTGTGAGAGCAGTGTGTCTTCTCATTCTCTCGGCTGTCTGGTGACATAATGGCCACACGGAGATTGTCATGCTAAAGGCCATCTTTAAACCTAATGTAAGACACGGGGACTTTTCTTTATACAACTTTACACGACTGCTTTTATCGACACGTTGGCATCAGAAACGTTGCGAGAGCTTCGGCACTTTTAACAGCCTGTAATTGAGAAAAAACAGAGCTAGGCTTTCACAGTTATGAAACTCGACAAATAAGATTGGGCTGACAAAAGGAGTCAAACTCTGCCTTATGTACTACCTTATATATTCTTAGTCACCAAAAAGACTCAGACCATAGAGAGGATGGATAAAAGCTTATAAACACAGGGCAACCATTAGGATAGGACAGTAGAAATATATGACACTGTTAACGATAGAACTTAAACTCCAAAACATTCAGTAATAATGCTCTAATATTGAAGGTAAAATGATCATCATGCACATAAGTGAACTTTCAGTTTTCCCATTGGACTGTTTTAGGTTCTTAGTTTGGAAACCTGTCATTAATAACACTGACCAACAGAAACAGCACTGAGCAAAATAGCAACGCGACAAACATTCTAGTCTTACAGTACCTATACTTATATATCTATAGGTACCTGAAAAAGTGTCTGTGAACTGTGATCACATTAAACACACTTATCTTTTTCTTCTTCGAGAACTTTCAGCAGCTCAGCATTTTCTGTCTTATCCTGCAAACTTTTTTCATGTACTTCCCAGATATTGCTGTATTTGTATTCTGCCAGGAACACTGTGCTTTACTGTCTCCTAATGTTCGATCCCAAAACTTTTAGATTAATATTTTCAGCTAATAAAACTATATTCGTCACTTTTTCAGCCAGTACAGCCTGTATGTAGTGTAAAATTTTCCAGGGCTCTTGGAGCTCCTCTGCAAGCCTATTGCCTGTGGTACACAGTAACACATTTGTAACAAATCCCTTTCCCTCCAGCCTTGACAGGACAGTAGGAGAACAGTGGGGATGTTTTTCTCATGTCCTGTGGAAATTAAACCCTTTCCAGAAATGGATGCTGAAGCAGTGCTTCCTCTAAAACATTTACAGCACATTTTGCCCCTTAAGTCAGTGTTTTCGATGTTTAACCTCTTAAAAGTTGTCGGCCAACTGGTTAGGGATAGGTTTAGGTTCACATCTACCCCTTTATATGGAATTGTCACCTAATTGACATCCAAATGTAAATTTGCAAGTCCAGAATGTGATATTCATACCATGCTTAGTGGAACTGTAATAATGAGTTCCCCCACCCTGACTATCATAGCTGAGCGTTGTAGATATTGTGAGAAGACAAATTCAGGAGTAGCTCAGAGTGGAGTCACTTTTTTGAGCATGTCCAACTGGGAGGAGACGTAGATCTCACTGAGGGCAGGGAGCTATGGACGTCTCAGCATAGACTGCTAACCCAACACATCACCTGACCAGGATAAGTGATGGATGGACTGATGGATGGATTGATCATCGTGGTCAGAACTGTCCTGACGTTTAAACCAGAGTTCTGATGGTTGTTTTTTGCTTGTGTTTTACTCACAAACACCTTCTAGTGTCTGACCTCAGCAAACTGCTACTTTACTGCTACTCCTGATGCTGACAGTACTTATGGCGGTTGAGGTCCACCGATTCAATTATATTTGCATCTGATAATAAGCAGGAATTTTGGACGGTGTTTTTTTGTCCTTTTTCTGGGGGCTGTGCCAGAATTCGGCAAAAGAAAAGTTGGACCTCTAAGAAGAGAAAGAAGCTCATGGGAAATCAAAGCTCTTAAGGCCTGACTGAGCATAGGCAGTGAGCATGAAGACAGAGACAAACAGCGGGTGCACGCTGCTGCTGTTACACACACCCATTTGCTGCAAGATGTATCATACTGATTATATCATCAAACCTAACAGATACAAATTATTTTTCGCGATATGGTATCATCAGTGGAAAACTGACTGTGGATGACAAGTTTTTATATGCTAATCTGCAGCCTCACTGGTAATAATATGCTTTATATCTCAGATATGGTAATCAGTTCTGATTGACTTGTCTCTGTGTATTTGTCTTTTACAAGTGGGTGAATTGGAAGAAAAGCGACAAATAATTCAGCACAATCAAAGAAGAAAACTCACACGCTTGCATTTTGATGCACAAATGTTTCACTGTAGGCTATCCTCCGCTGGCCTGTCTTTCTGCTCTGTTTGGGCTAACTGTTACTGCTGCTGTTTTGTGAGCTGTTTTCTCAGCCTGCTTGCAGTGTCCCTAATCTTTCATCTTTGTGACATTTTCAGATCATGCTGCTAACCGATCCAGAGATAGAGAGCAGCCTTCTGATCAGCTCTGATGAAGGAGCCACCTACCAGAAGTACCGGCTGAATTTCTACATCCTCAGCCTTCTCTTCCACCCTGAGCAGGAGGACTGGATTCTCGCCTACAGCCATGACCAGAAGGTGAGAGAACGGCTGAGGCGAGTTCAGTGGCCAGTTGTTCAAAAGGAATCAAAAGAGCGTTAAGTAAGATAAGCAACAATGAGGGCAGGATTACAGTGGCCAGGAGCAAGACGGATAAACCTGTTACACAAGAGTTTAGCTCAAGCACGGGTCAGAGTTCACGAGTTTCACTTGAGAGGGAAGAGGATAAGTGAGGATAGTAATATTAAAACTGGCGTGGAAGCCCGTTTCATCAGGAGAACAGGAGAAAGATGGGAATTATGATGCTTTTAGTCAGACGTGTATGCTGAAGTTCACTTTGAAAAAGTCTGGCTCGTCTCCTGACTTTACCTCTGGAGGCAAAGGCCAGTGTCACAAAGACATCAAGATAGCAAATAACATGATATCAGCTTCGAGCCTTCTTGTTTTGTGTGACCAGTCATTGTTTGCAAATGTGGAGAAATTCAAAATGGCATATAATGTAGTCCTCTGTTTTTAACAGGGACAGTACTTTAGCCTTGAGAAATGCCAAGTTATTCTGAAAAAGACTGACAGCACTCACTAGACAAGCAACACTAAGACAACAAACAAACCCTCTATGGAAGGCCCAGTCCTTAAATTAATTTCCTTTTGCTATATTCAACCCAGAGAATCCTTTTTTCTTCCTCTTGGTGGAAGTGGGCTTCCATACACTGCAGCTGTGTGCTGTTTAAAGAACCATGTTCACGGATAAGTGATTCAGAAGTTAAAATGCACCAACCCAATAATCCAGAACCCACACAGCTCAGCTCACGCGGGCCTGCAGCTACGTAACGAGCGGTTTTAGGTTGAGAAATTCCTTTAAATCTCTTAAGCATCTTAGCTGTTAACAAGTCACCTGGTTTGAATGCACTGCATTTCAAAATGATGCCACCACATATGAAGCCAGACTTTATAACACACCTCCAGCATGGCTAAAACGAGGCTTCTCAATGAGGAGAATGAGCCACTTTAAAACTTCAGTGGGCGCAGTCTCACTGTTAGTGATATTAATTCATAGAAAATGTATTTTGAAAACCTCATAAACATGTTGCATTTATAAAACAAGGTGGAGTCTGTTGATTTGCCATTTCTGTTTTTATAAACAAACAAACACCTGTTCATCCTCAACCCGTTTATTTATTCAGCATATTTGCTGAACCTAAATAATTCACAGGTGGTATTAGCTCTATATGTGGAGGATTTCTTTCGTTGTTTATCTCTTTGTTGGTTGTTTAGCTTATTGGGTTCTTTTAAGCCACAGACTACATACTGAGAGTCTCACGGCGTTTGAATTTTGAGATAAGTAAACTGAACTTGGTTTAAAACGTACAGATATGAAGTTAAAACCAACTGGTGACCCAGATGTTCAAAGAGTCTTTTTTCTTTTTACATTTTCTCAGTATGTATGATTTGTTCTTCAGTCAAGCTCTGAAAGTGCACCTGAAACCATTTTTGTATTGGTAATAAAATAAAATAAATAAATCATTTCCAGGGAATTTGTGCGTGTGGTAGAAGCTGAACTCGTGACCTCTGACCTCTATCATGCTTATGACTGTTTCTGTTCTTTTGAAATGAAACAGCGTTGACTTAATCTGAGCTGTATTAAAGCACACAGTAGCTTTGTTCAGACTCTGAACTTACTAACGATCCGTCGGGGGGAGCCAAGGTTTTTGTGTTTTATTGACCCAATTTGACGAGCGGAGTGAACTCTCTGCTGTGAATTCATTCAGCTCCTCATTTCCGTCTAAAGTTCTCGAGTTTCTAAAGAACTGTCAAAAAAAGAGAAAGCTACACTGAAATAACTATGAACTAAACCTCAGTATTGACACTGGCTTTTTTTCTCAGTCATCATTTTATTAGCACACAAACTGAAAATTAGAGATTGGAGAAAACACTGACTCATCTAATGTAGGAAGCAGTGTGGGGAGAAAGTAGCTGTATGTCTGAGGCAGAAACAAAAAGGTGGAATTTATAGACATTTTAAAATGACCGTCTGCATTAATAAAAATGCTTTTCTTGCAGCTCAGCCCATTTGGGTCTAATATTTCAGCTATGATGAATAATGAAGGGATCCTCCTTTGTTGTGGACGCGTGGACATGTGGATGTACAGAGTGTGGGTGAACTTGCCTGTCTCTTTTACAATGAAAGTAAATCACGCTCTTACTGATGCTTCCAATGCGCACAATGCGCACACACACGCACACACACACACACACACACACACACACACACACACACACACACACCTTGCTTTTCCCTGGTTTCCATGGAAACCTGTGGTGAAGGAACAGAGAATTCAAGGACAGGTATGTGTGCAACTGAGTGTTCCTTGGATCGTCCACTGTGCTCCCATTATCCTCCTCCAACACGGATTCTTGTTCTTTGACACTAACAGGGTGTCACGCAATCACAAGCATTTTGTTTTTCATTTAACTTTTTTTAATAAAACTTGAAGTATATGAGACAAAACATGGCACATGACATGCACATTTGCCTGTTTGCCGGCTGCGGATTACATCTGCAGAGCATGCTGTGTTTGTATGTTTGCTTGTGTGTGTGAGAGCGCGTGTGCACCACGTGTTTGGCTGCCTCGCATACCAGAACAGACACAAACACAGACATACTTCAATATGGTCCCTGATTAGGACACCAGACTGTCCTGACTTCAGCCTCATCACAAAACATGAACAACTCTATCTAAATACCAAGAGTGATGCGAACAGTGTTTACCAACATGATATTCCAGAGGAAAATTAGACTGGAAAAGTAAAAAAAAGGGATATATTTGCAGTTTTTCACAGTACGTCTTC